CATGCTGTGGGCTAAATAATTCACCTCATTAGGCATAAAACACCTGATTATAAAGCAACTGTGTAACTCTAGGGTATGTGCAGCCACCGACCACACACATATCCTGTATGCAGAAAAGACTCTTTTGTGTCCTTGGGAGTCCAACCATCTCTAAAGGCAGGAACAGTGAAAGGAGCCCAAGCATTCCCCTTTTCCTTTACTGTCACATTTCAAAACAAAATGGACTGTACAGTATTATCAAGGGGGTATATGGGATTTGGACAGTCTTCTCAGGCCAATTTCAAACAGCTTTGTAACACTAATGCAGTGTATCATTAGGCAGCCCACTACTGCAGTTAACTCATTTAACAGTTTTAGGTTGAGATTTTTGTGGGTTAGTTAAGAATTAACTTCTAAGCATCAAGATAAATTATCCTGTGTATGGATGATAAAGGATGCCCAAGTGTAAAGCTAAAATTATGTTTTTAAACTTTAAAAAGCACTGCATACAGAGATAATGGACAAGGTACTAGCAGTCTTCCCAGTGAAGGAGATCTCCATATGAACTCCATCATTCACTGTAACATGCAATTTACCCAACTGCTGGTGCCCTGCACTGTGTTATTTTACATGTAAACAGGTGCCTAATCTCAGACATCTGATTTCTCTTAAAGGAGCTCACTTGCTGGGGAAAATTTTAATTCCAGTAAACAAACTTTTCTGAGTAGCATATACTACTACCTTTACAAAGACAGTAAACTTCACACATTTTGGGACAAGAACAGAGAAAGACCAAGAAGGACTGCAATGTGCTTCACAAAACACCTGACATTTAAACATTCCAGAGCTAGAAACACAAGTAGATTGTGAAGTCCCCTATGCTACAGGCAAGACAAAAGTAACTTTGTAATCTATTGTTGAAGATTTGTCCAAACTTTTACTTTTTTTGATGTATACTTTGATGCATACCATTTCTTTATGTTAAACCATTAATGTTTACAGAAGTAAAATATTTTTGCAATATACGTAACTGGGCAGTTGAGCTTTTGTGTGTCATGGGAGATACCCAACTGGGAAAAGCAGACATTCCTGTCTGTACAAAGTTGGAGTCAACATTGGTATTTTCCACTTGAATTACAGAATATAAGACAAAACCTCAAGATAAGCAAAATAAAATTCAGTCCTTACCCTCTTTTTACTTTTGTGAAGTCAAAAGCCACTTGTCTATAGGAAACTGCCTTTTCATTCAGATATCTACTATACCGTCTGATAAACGTTGACATGTCATAACCTAAAAAAGAAGTTTTAGAAGCTTATTACTTACCTAGTCAATTAAAGATCAAAAACCTTACTCTAAATAAAGTGCAAGATATTAAAGCAGGACAGCTTCATTATATTTTTGGCTGATTTTGTATAGTTAATCTGTGCTACAAAGAACTGTATGTCATCACGTCATTGTAGTTGCGACATAAATCAAACAGACCATGCTGCAAATACCTAGAAGACCTGAACTACGTGAAAGTTAACACTTTACTTCCTAAGGAAATTACTTCCAAAAGCAAAACAAAGTATTTTTATGCAAGATCTCTCATACTATGATAGAAATTACACTATGCATTCACAAAGATGTTCGCGTCAACTCCACACCACATTAATTTACAACTGAATAAAAAAAAAAAAGACATTGAAGCAAACATTAAGACGTGACAGAATTTTTTCTATGTTCAGATAGTTGTGATAGGAAACATTTTGATAACTGTCAGTCTAAGGACACAGACCAAGAAAAAGATGTGTTCATAACATATACTGAGATCATGGATGTTAAGACTCAATAAAATGAGGCAATTCAGTAGACCCTTGGTTATCATGGAGCAGGTTTCTGTCAACCACTCTGTGTGCCCGTTTTAGTACACCTGTGGCAAAAATTAGAACCAGCTATATAAAAAGCCATGCAGAAAATAAGAAACCACCTCAGGAGGAGAAAAAAAAAAGATGACAACTACCTGTATGATCAGAACTGCACTGAACTGCAGTGTAACAGTTTGGAAGGATATTTCAGTTGAAAAATCTGAACCAGAGAAAAACTTATCTGCTCACAGAATTATTCTCAAAGATGGATGGAATGGTCTTCTAACAATCGCCCAAACAGGTTTTTTTTTTCAGACTCATCTTGTCTCATGGACACACTTTATCTGATACACCTATGATACATTTTTTAAATTTAACTCACTAATCAAAATATACCTCTTCAAATGGAGATATTCTTCAGAAATAGGAGGAATACAAGGTCAGATCTGTTTAGCTAAGAAAGTTAGAAGCATTTGTAAGTAAGCCTTTCCTAAAAGATGCAACAAATGCTTCCAGCAGACAGCTTCTGCCATGCCACAACAGCATCTTAAGTTAAGAAATGCAGTCTGGTATAAAACAGACTGAAAAATTACTTCTTAAATGCCACAGTCCATTAGAGTTACCAAGTTGTATATTGGTAAGAAAAAAAGACACCTTACCTTGCAGTCCACTTTTGTCTAGGAAATTGCTCAAATTAAACAATGTGTTTCTGGACGCCAGATACTGGATAAAACGCTAAATGAAAGGAAAAATTTGAATGCTTTTATTATATTATCAGTGAGCTAGAACTGAGGTAACAGTACTAGAAACTCTTCTTATCCAGTTTATGAAATTCAGCTTTTATGCTTTAAGACTGATTTAAAATCTGGAAACTATCACAAAAACTAGCTAAATTTTCAAATGAAGCTAGTTATTATTTTTTATGTAAAAATACATGAACAAATCAAATTCACATAGATATTGCGTGAAGACTGAAGACTTCGTTTATTTTAAGCCAGGATATGGAACTGGAAACTTAAAAAAAATCCCCCCAAATAAGTTCTCATTTTACATACTCACAATTGTTTCACTAACTTCAATTTTTTAACAGTTGATTTAAGTTTACCAATTAGCCAAGGGATCTTTGCTCAGCATACAATTTTAACAGTACTTAATTTAAAAAAGAAAATAAGGTTATGTAAAGATTAGTTTGCTTATAAGAAAAGGTTAAACGTAAGAATCTACATAAAACATTAACACAGTATCACACTTAGTACATATCATTAGTCACATAGAACTCTGAATTACATTTCACAAAAATGACGCTATTTTCAACTTGTAAAGACACATTTCAGATCACTGGCACCACATCTTATTTAGTAGGAAAAATAATTTTGTCTTATGAACCACTGTATAGAGAGCTGCTACAAAAATAAACCAATCACTTGTAATAACATTTTGACAGAGGAAGAAATAGGTCTGATTAGTGTAACGTGTATTACTGAATTATTTTCATCAGCATAAATACAGAAGTTACATAGAAAAAAGACTGGAGAAGAGTAAAAGCACTCAGTTCTTAGCTATAAAAGTATTAAACAAAAGCTGGAGGACCAAATGCTTTTCAGATTTTTTCAAAGGGTTTTACAGATTCTCTATAAACTTCTACACATTTTTGTAAGCATTCAATTTCTCAATTTCCATGTTCATTGTCCAAGTACTATTTCTAGCTGTGAAAAGTTTCATCTTGAGCAGCAATCTTATCCTCATTACTTCTGTAACACATTTGGCAAGCAAAATTTGTTTAGTAGTTTTATTCTTAAAATTGAAGTATTTCAGACAGTGGTCCCATGAAACACCTTTAACTACTATGCAGTGTATTCGTATCAGTTTAGAATTTATATGAACCAAAGTACAAGCACAGCAAAAGCGCATAGACTTTGTTTTGGAAAGTGCTAATTATTCCAGTGATAATGCTTGAAGTCAACATGAGAAGTTTGCCCTCTTGTGGCTTACTTAGCTTCAAAGAATAGATTTTCACCAACACCAGAAATACTCTGCAGCTAACCTGCAAGAGAAACCAGTATAGATATAGATATATAGAGAGATATATATTTAAAAAAACCCACACAAACAAAACCAACTTAACCCCCACAGCCTAGCCAGTCAGGCAAAGGAAGCAGTCACACAACCTATAAAAACTCTGAATGCAACATGAAATGAAAAATTTTGGTCCTCTACAAATCCTGCTTGTAATTTTCTAAAGCTATCCCTTAATTCTAGAATTCATAGAGCTGACTGCTTGCAGTAAAAAGGAAAGTTTCTAAGAAAGCCTTAAAGGTATAGTTGTTGGGTTTTTTAAATGCAGAAGATTCAAGCTGCTGCTGTGCTTGACCTAGTATCTTGAAAAATAAGGCCCCATGGGAATTCAAGTTATGGAACAAACAAAGCTTATTCCTTTTTGTTTAAGTTGGGGTTTTGTTTGTTTATTGTTCTACAGTATTTGGTGTTATTTAGATGCTCACATGCACATATTTGCCATCACTGTAAAAGGTTAGGGGTGATGGTGGAAACCAGTTCAGAATCAAACTATTTGGGAGAAAAGACCACCTGCATTAGCTAGAGCACGAACCTAAAAAGGCTTCCGTTTTCAGCTTTCAGAATCCCATTCAAGATAATTTCTGCTGGTTTATTTTTTACCATTAGAATAACACTACAGAAAAAGGTACCTCCAGCATTTAGGACACTTACTTTTGATTCTAGAATTACAAACTTCAAAGTAGAAACAAACTAAGTAGACAAACATATAACGAGACCTGTGTTCATGCAGAGTTAGACACAAAAAAGATTAAAATAAAGATTTTCTTACAAAGATAACTGGTGGAAGCATTTAGCTGACATTTATAGGAACGAAGTGCTGTAAATGTTCTCAGACACATAATTTTTTGTATTACCTCATTTCCGTACACCATTAGATGATGGGTTGTGATGAGGGATTTGAAGACCACTACCCAGCTACTGTTGGTAGTTCTTTCAAACAAACTGTCTGCCAGTTGTGGGATGTTCACGTTCATCTCATTTGTGCACTGGATTAAATCTGCAATACAGAAATGTTTGTTATTATTGAGTTCTGTGACAGAAGATCAATAACAAAAAAAATATCAGTACACTCATTTTATATAGTAATATTTTCTATGAAAACTGAGGGGTTTTCCAGTAAAATAAGTAATTTCTTGAAAAGCACTGTGGCACCAGTCTAGCAGAACCTTGTAATATAAACTCCACTCTGCTCACTGCCAAGCTTCTCAGTCCTCAATTGCTTTTGCAGTTGCCTTAGGTAGTCCTAGAATAGAAGTACCATAATGACTTGCACTATCTCTGACTAACAACTCCCAGCTTTTAAACATCCAAAGCATTAAATAGCAAAATAATTCTTAAATGCTACAATTTAGTCAAGTTTTGCTGGAAAATTATGACTAGAATTAGCTGTAACCTCAGACTTCTTCTGGCCTCTTAACAGAGCAGTAAACCCTTCTAGACATCAGTTCAATGTGAATAATAGAAGATTCAAATACTCCTTAGTCTTGATACAACACAATCAAACCTTCAAAAGGGCAGAGGAAACAAGTGAAAAAATGAGCCTCTAACTACAATGCCAGAAGCAGACAGATTTAATTTAGTTACAGAAAGTGGGTTGTTAACTGAAAAGATTGTTAGGAGCACAGCAAAACCCAAGGCTGGCTAGCTAAAACAAAGGTATCCAACATTTGTTCAAGCTGGACTTCCAGCAGACAAGACCTAGCGACTCCAGCAGACAAGACCTAGCGACTCTGTTAAAAAAAGTTACCCTGTCTGTCTTCTAGATTTGCTATTGTCACAACTGTATAACCACAAGGAGCCATACATATAACACAATCAATACAATAATAAGTAATAATCCACTAACTTATTTCCAAATGCTGACGAAGGAAACGATGACTTAAGGTCATGATGCTACAGTGACAGATGTATCACATAATATAGTTGCTCCTGTTGTAACACAGCTTGCTAGCGTTCAATATGAAGCTTAACTTAATGCAAGATAGTGCTGGTGACATTTTACTACTACTACAACCTCCAAAATAAAACAGTAATTTTCACTCACACTGCCAGCCCTGCCGAAGACCATAGCTCAATAAGGGTCAGACTTGTGTAAGACCTATGCCTGTCTGTCTATGGGCTACTAAGACTAACTGGAAACATCCATTTAATCTGAAGGCAAACATTTCATCTTTGAAGACAGTTTTACATCTTGCTATGGACAATCATTCATCACAAAGGACTCCATAAAGACAGGACCTTCCTTCAGCCACAGCAGCAGGTAAGCATGGCTACTGCAAACTCTGAACTAGTATGGTCCGAACTGAAAAAGCTGCTATTTACAAGTTTAAGTATTAAAGGAAGCAAGCAGGAAATGATTTCCACATTCAAAATGTGATGAGAGAGAGAGATTAGCCATTCCTTTATCTACAAGTAAAGCTGTGGTGACTACAGGCATTCATGACCTCATTTTTAAGTCACGGTTATCTATTATTGGATGATGATTTGGGGCTGTTAAGACAATGCTAGGATATTACTCAGCAAGAGACATGCTCTCTACTGGATCATTAAAACCAAGCCCTGCAGCTTCTTGATCTTCAGGTCTTCCCACCTAAGCAATAACACCAGCAGTTTTGTGCAAGGCTATCTGGCAGGAACACACATTAAATACAAAGGTATATGCATCACAGGATGTCAAGTCATACGTTTTGGCATAAGAGGTACAAATGCATGTTAGAAAGTGAGAACTTCTATTCTTAAATACAACATTTGCCAACTAGTCAACAGTAACAAAGAAAGAGGTGCCACTTGAAAATCCACTATCTAAAATTACTAAAAAAGTTATATCCGTTCTAGATGATATTCTGTGCCAGAAGAAATGTTTTCTAAAATGCCACTGGCCTTTCAAATCATCTTTTAGTATCTGTTGCAGTGTGTAAAAGAAAACAGGCTCTGTAACTCAGCAGAAAACGTAACCCAGCAGAAAAATCACCCCTCAGAGAACTGATGAGTGTTGACGTGAAAAGCGTATGAATGATCTTGGGTGGAGGGGGGAGAGAGGGGGTTCTCTCTCTGGGAAAGAACATAGGCAAGAACAGAAGTACACAGGCAAGTCTAGCCTTGAATGGAAGAAATTAAATTTAAAACTGCAAACAAGGGCAAGAGTCACTATGATACCAGCTACTAAGTTTAGCAAAACATGATGTTTCTTTCTCTACAAAATGCAGGTTGAACAACAGAGATGCTTAATAACCTGGTATGTCCTGATACCCCAAAGCGCCTACATCACGTATATTTCAGAATCGTTACATCTAAAAGCTTTTTTGAAAGTATTTGCATAAGCAATGCTAATTAGTTAAAGAAATATTTGTACAGTTAAATCCAAATTACATCAGCAATTTTTGTGCTAACTATAGCATAAGAAGCATAGTACAGGCAGAGCAGAAGCGAAGACAGTACCCTGCATCCCACATTGCTGTACTGCCTGTTCAAGATGACTGTCACATACAGCATTCTTGCTTATTTATCCTAGTCCCACAGACACCCTTCATTAAGGGAAAGGAACAGATATATAATTATTATCACATCCTACACTTTACACAACTTGTCTCACCCCCACCTATGAAAATACTAGCTACGTGTTTTGAAACCCAAGTGTCCAAAGCAACATATCTCAAGACTGTTAGTTACTGGGTATGGTAATGAGCAATACAACAGACAGGTATATAACCAAAGGGCAAGGCACTAAGGTGAATAGTTTTAACCTTAGAAAAGAACAAAAAAGAGACAAACAAAAAGGATAACCCTTGGTGAAAGTGTGATGCCTGTTTCATCTTTGAGCTTCTTGTCATAGAAGGAGGAGAATTGAATACTTACCCCCATCAATACTACAGAAAGTCACTCACACTCTCCTGCATTAATGCCCACACCACCTCACAGCTGAAAGAGTGTGAAAAACTCTCCTGGAAAGTCCAAACCACCTTCCCAACTCTAAAAGCTGCTACAACTTCAATAGCATAAGACACACAGGATATAGATTTTTCGGGACATGGTTTAGTGGGCATGGTGGTGTTGCGTTGATGGTTGGACTTGATGATTTTAAAGGTCTTTTCCAACCTTAACGATTCTGTGATTCTGTAGATATTAAACAAACACTGATCATTGTTTCAAAGAAGGCAGCACTTAGCAAAAGAATTTTAAGTTAAGCTTGCAGCTGGCTGGGAGAGTTGCATGAGGGAAGCTTAGACAGCTATGAATGCAGTGTCATATCCACAGATGTAGCTGGAGACAGCAGAGAGACGCCATCAGGATTGACCAGAGCTTAAAGCACATGATTCACAAGAAGTGGATGAAGCAGAGGGGCTTATTCCATCTGCAGAACAGAAGGCTAAAGGCAGGGAGGCGGAATATAAACGCTATCTTCAGTCAGATGTTTCTTAGAAGTTCACAGCAAAAGGATGAGGCAGCAGACATGCTGCAACAAGGGAAATTCTTATCAGATGAAGAAATTAAAAATCTTCACAATGAAAGTGGTCAGGCAGAAGAGCCCATAAGCAACCAAATCTTTTGAAGTTTGACATGGTTTAAGCAGGGGACTGATTAGAGGACCTTCTGAGGTCCCTTCTAACCTAAAGTAATCTTCAATGATATGTACTGTCCACAGAAGAGAATGAGAAAAATGGAGACAAGCAAAAACAGAGACATGACTTAAAGTAAGTTAAAGTCCAAAAGACCAGTCCAACAGGAGTGTATTTCTAAAGATTTCAAAAGTTTAGACCTACTTAAGTGATAAGACTTATGTTTTGAAGAACTCCATTTACCTACCTACACTAAGTCATACAGCATATTTAAGCAGAGATGTCAAAACTAGATTTTCCTAGAAAATAGTTCTAGTTTGTTTTTAACTTGAAGAAACAAAACAGTATTTTTGTTATAACAGTTAAAATTTTTAGCACTAAATGACTTTCACATAATTCAGTTCTGTTTGGATTTATGGCTTTTTTCCAACCGGACTTTGCAAGGAATCCTAACAAAGGTCTGGCCTCCAGACATTTCAGTAACATTGAAGATTTGCAGTTGCACCTGTATCAAAAGCATTGTATTGCCTAGTTCTGCTGAAGTTAACTAGTACAAAACAAGCAGTAAAATACTGTATAATACTCTGGGTAAGAAAAATAATGCATTTGCACTCCCAGACAAGATATCTACAGTCTTTACCACTGCTCAGCCTTCATTACAGGAAAGAACTAACTGATTCATTGCTTTACACAATGAATAGTTATTAGGTAAGAACAGTATAAAGGTGAAGAGTACAGTAAAAGTACAGCATGACTGGAGAATAACTGGAGATTCATACCCAAGAAACAAGAAGCAACCCTCTACACAAAGCAGCTACTACATGGCTAAGATGTTGATTTGAAGTACAGCATCTACTCCACACTAGGCATGTAGATATGGATTAGCCAACCCATGGTATGTGATCATGAGACTCTTGACCCATGGCAAACACGAGGCAATCAGGCTAGAGTAACACATCAAAGGCATCTGCCACAAATTATCCTAGAGAACGTAGGCGCATGTTGAAAGCACACATGACCCAACTCCTCATGCAGAACCTCATTCTGCACTAAGCAGCTTCCTAAGACAAAGCTATGAAAAACTAGTTTACTTCCCCACAAAAAGAATCATCAGGTAGGCCAAATGTGGTTTTTATTACTTTCTTTCCAGAATCTTACCCATATTAATTTGCAGTAAGATTATAAAGAATTGACTTGAAAATAGGCTTTGCGAACTAAGATTGTATCATTCGCAGTAACTTGAATAGTAAACTGAACATATGCCAGAATTATGTACCTCATGTACTGATTATTTCCAATGGTTTAGCTATACCTCTTATTTTGAACAACATTTCTATTCATAAGTATCAACCTGAAAATATTTACAGGAACCAGATCTTCCAGGCCCAAAAATGTGCCCCACACCTCTAGTTACTCCAAAATAGGTCAAGCAACT